GGCTATGAATTAAAACACTGGTTCGGGGTTTTTTTGGGGGAGGAGCACAATTCAATCCATAGGAAGCACCTGTTATTAGAATCTCATAAAAAAGGTGCCATAACCATTGGAAGTACTCTTTCTGCCTTGAATTTAACTGGCTCAGTAGATCCACGTGGAAGCTACTGATTTGATTGGACTTTTTATTTTGAAGCACTCTGCTAAGACGATGGCAAGGGAATCACTGAGAGAACTTGTCTGCAGCTCTCCACTGATCAATGAAATACGTTTTAAAACATTTTATTGGAAATAAACCTGTGTAGGTATTAATTGGAACCTAGGTAGCAATACTTTTGGACTCACCCTCATATATGCTCTTAACCTTAAAAAATTCTGGGTTCTATACGCCAGTTTCTGAGGCTTCTGGGGTAGCAGTGTGGGACATAACCTCAGCAAAGCCATTTTGTATTTAAAAGTCACACAGAAGGGGAGTGGGGTAGTTCCCGTAAATGACTCAGATGCTTGGGAAATCAAAACCTAGTACCATTGATTTAACCACAAAGGGGGCAGAGGGCGTAATGACCAGAAACTTACAGATAAGGTCCCCGGAATGTTCAGGACATTGTGATCAGAAACTTACAGATAAGGTTCCCAAAATGTTCAGCTAAAGGCTAACTTCAAGATTTGCTTCTGTTCCCGCTTGCTTGCACAGCTAAAACTGCTTCCTTGCAAAAAGGGTATAAAAGAACAGTGGGCATGCTGTTCGGGGCCACTCTTCCAAGGGAGAGTTGGTCCCTGCACAGGCATGCCATAAACTTCTATTGCATCCAATTTTTTTGAGTTGGGTCGTTCATGTCTCACCAACGTTCAACAGCAGAAACAGTGGTATTTCCTGTGCACGTGTAAAATTGTGTGTATTCAATAAGTGAATCAGTAACTCTGGAGTGGCCTCCAGCAAGTTATTTTAACTAGTCTTCCACATGATTCTGATACCAAATCTAAACTCTAGTTTTGTGAAACTCAGTGGCCTGAAAGATCTGTTCCAATTCTAAGATCCTTTGCTTCCTCATTCAATTTAGTTATGTTATAAAATTATATATACTCTTTGAGAAAAATGCTTATAAGAACTCTACACTACAGTTTTAAGAATGAATGAATCCTGCCAAGTCACACTTCTAGAGGGGTTTGATTTTCATTTATTACATCCCGTCTTTTTAGAAAAGCAATGTAAAGTGGTACCAACGTCAAAACCAAAGCCATTGCTGTCCAGTTGACTTCAACTCATGGGGCCCCTAAAAGATAGAGCAGAATCGCCTCCTACAGCCTCCAAGGTTGTGATCCATTACTGGCCGGTGCCCTCTAGAAAGCCCTGTGGGATTTTCAGGAAGTGGCTTTGGATCTGTTTGAGCTCTTGCATAAACAACGTGCTTCCTAAGTCCCCAACGCTTTACATCCTAATATGTGACAGAAAAGTTTTGGACTGGAAAATTCGGAACCAGTTATATACACTAAAATAAATCATTGAACTCTATAGTAAGATCAAAAAGAATGTAGCTCCATTTAATGCAGCAAGGTGAGCCCAAGTTGGAAGACACTTGAAATAACACCGTGTTCGCAACAGCAGACCAGCTTACGAACAACCGTGAAGACAGTGCAGGACAGGACAGTGCCTGTATCCATGGTACAGGAGCTTACCATCACTCAGGGTCAACTCAACAGCGATTCGCAATATTAACAAGATTAAAAATCATAGTGAGTCTACGTGATCTTAATGAATTGTCAAGATAAAATAAAATAACACCAAGGGGGAATAATTAAGCCCATCACTAGAAAATGATATTGTTTACATACAATTATCTTTGATGAAATTAATCCTACAAATAGCAACGGGTTAACAACAACAAGATTTAGGCAATGGTTTTTTAAGGTCCTCAGTTGGTGACGTCTACACTTGACGGAGAAAAAGCCCTGTCCATGCTCTCTGAGGTACCACTGACTTAACTGTAGAATGAAGTGTTTCTTCATTTCAAATTTGCTGGTCAAATTCTGATATTAGATATTCTCAAAATAAAATTTCTGAGCCATCTCAGCCCTTTCTAAGAGGACTGTTCCCCCCACCCCCCACCTCGCCAACTGCAGCCCATGTATAACATGCACCAATTTCACTTGGCAAGCTTATTAGAAATGTGGGTCCCTGGACCTTGGCCCAGACCTGTTTTTTTTTGGGTTTTTTTTTCAGAATTTCCAGCGAGTTACTAGAAATGTGCCTCTTAAACAAGGAGCCCAAATGATTCGTAGGCCCACTCAGGTCAGAGCTACTTTAAATAATCCTCGCTCTCCTCTTAACTCGAGGAGTCCAAGTTTTACCATGGGTAATCTGTAAATCACGATTCCTTCTTAAAGATGAATGACCTAGAGGTCCAATTAACCTTTAGTGGACTGAACTGGAGCATGCAACCGTGAGCAGAAACCACAGTTATTTCCCATGGCGACTTGGAAATGAAAACACAAACCCTCTCCCATTTAGAGTCTAGGGCATAAGATATAGTGTCCCTCTTCTGTAAATTCATGATTTTCATAAATAAGCAATGACGAAAGCTCAAGCAAACCAGAAACTTTGGGATGCTTTCTCAACTTCAACGCTCTGTCCATCGTCCGCTTCTTACCCTCACCGCATTCCTCCTGTGATAGCTTGTCCTCTATCCCCAATGAAAGCATTCAAATGTTTGGATGCAGTGTCTAAGTGGACGTTTGGGCCATTTAACATAATGTTCTCTGTCAGGCGGTACACTCACCACACCAGACCCATTGCTGTCCAGTTGACTCTAGCTCATAGCAACCTTATCTGACAAAGTGGAATTGCCCCACAAGGTTTCTAAGATTGTCGTATTGACGGAAGCAGATCTTTCTGTTTACAGCTAAGTACTGAATCACTGTTCCACCAGGGTATTTAAAGCCTTGGGTGTTGTGAAGAAAGGTGAATGAACATTTATTAACTTGGGCTGGTGAATTAGCATCAATTGAACTGCTATACATTTATTTGGAGCACTGATAGCCTTGTGGGTCACATGCTGTGTGGTTAACCGCAAAGTTAGCAGTTCGAACCCACCATTTCCTCTGCTGGAGAAAGATGAGACTTTCTGCTCCCATCAAGATTGACAGCTTGGAAAACCACAGGGGCTGTTCTCCTCTGTCTAGAGGGTTGCTGTGAGTCAGAATGAACTCTGCTTCAACTTCTTTTTCTATTGGATACGATTATTAATATTATTGTCTCGTTATAGAACAAGGTCGTTGCAGTTCAGGTAGTTAAGTAATTGTCCAAGGTCTCACAGTGTTAAGTAAGGGGAGGTAGAATAATAAGATGAATTATTATTGTATCTTTTTACTAATATTATGACTGTCGTTATGGCAGAGGGAGGCAGGTGAGACTGTGTGTCTCTAGACTCAGAAATCCTCTCGGGGCTCACTGTGTGTCAAAATGGACTGGATGGAAATGGATAGTGTTACTACCACTAGTAACACCCAACACCTCCAACTTTTATAGGAAACCACAACATTTGGTGCAGTGGTTAACGTACTTGGCTCATCACAGAAAGGTTGGGGGTTCAATTTGCAGCAGTCTATGTGAAGACTCACATAGAAAGACCAGGCGCTCGGTGCCTGTAAAGTGAATTAGAGCCCCTGCAACCCTCTATGGGGCTGCTATGTGTTGCAATCAATTTGATGGCACTTCCATTAAAATTTGCAGTCATGGAAACTCTTTGGGTTTTCCATATGTATCTTATTTCATTCCAACAACAACTTAATTTTGTCTCATTTTAATTCCAGCAACAAGCCTATTCTGCTGCTTATGATAATTTCCATGAACAAAATGGAAACAAAAAACTGGATGGTCTAAGTACCATGCTTGATAGCAGATAGTACGTGAAGTACAGAGTCATGGCCATGCTATTAGGTAAGAGAAGAGAGGCACTTGAACATTCTTCCCAAATGACTGTAAGTCATTGAGAGGCAGGGCCAGAATTTACTAAAGGTAGGGTATATATTTTAGAAAAGAAAACTCTGGGAGCAAATAGAGAATAGACTGTGACTTAAGGAAGTAAGCTTCATCTCACGACACGTCATTGAATTGATTATGTGTGAAATAAAAGTAAATTTTAAAAAACTGAATCCTAATGGTTTTGGTGACTTGCCAAATGAAATGTATGTTGGTGAGAATCCATGAGTGGTTTGGTGGCTAGCATTGCATAAGTGAATTAAATAAAGACCATTTTCAAGTTCTTGGTTTTAGAAGCATATAGACTTACATGGTCCTTTGAAATAAACCTTACTTTAACTGGGCTAAGTCATTGCTAATATGTATAGGTGAATGGAGGAAGAGTCAAATTGTTACGTGTAGGTTAGCATGAGCCCCTGGTTTAGTATACTGACTTTTCGCCTTAGCTTGTCTGAAATGTACTTTTAGAAGTCATTGAATATGACCAACCAGCACGTGTTTCGGTAGAAATGAAACTGGAATAGTCAAGGAACTGGAAACTGACCCACGACCCCAGCACCAACCACACATGTCACACGTCTGCTTCTTTGGCTTTTGAGGTATTTGAGGAAAAGAAAGAAAGAGGAAAAACCGAAAAGAGGAAAATAAGTAGGAAGTGAAAACAGCGAACTTCTTGGAGCTCCAGAATGAATTCAGAAATGAGTCAATGCATCAAGGCTGTCAAAGAAAGAAAGAGACACCCCACCCAGCCCCAGCCCCAGCCCCTCCGCCCTCACACCAACAGAGTCCCCACCCAACCTCACCACTTCCACTCCCGCTCCCAGCCTCGATGATGTCTGCCAGGGAGTGCTGCTGTAAAGAATCGAATATCTAGGCTTGCAGTCCCCTTGCTTACTTGACCTAAGACTCTAAGTAAAACAAACAAACAAACAAACAAAAAATAATACTGAAACTTGGATGTCCACTTCATTCAAAATGCCAAAGCTGCTTAACTAACCTCACCTTGTGTTCTCTTTCTACACAGATCATGGAGCAAGAACGCTGTCGGGAAGCCCCATCAGAGTCCATGAGGGATGAGAGAGAGATCTGTCAAGGATTTGTGGCAGAGTGAAACACAAACCATCGAAAACACACAGATCTCTTCTAGGGATACTACGCGAACCAATGAGCCCATTCACAGGAGGGGCCTGGCACTTTTCCTGAAGAAGGTGCTGTGACTCTCAAAGGTACCAAAACAACCACGGAGTATGCACTTGTGTCTATGAAACAGGAACGAAAATGTGGGCAGTTGTGCTAGAACCAAAAAAGAAGGCATTACAGTGGTTCCCCTCTCTCTTCATTCGTTTTGTCCTCCAAAGAGGTAAACTGAAGTGGAGCTCTGGGGAGGAGGACCTCAGAGAATGGAATGAAGCCAGTGAAAGAGAGATGTTATCCCACGTGTTTTTCTTCCAAAGGAGTTATGTGTCTTGTGCATTTAGTAAATGACCCACGATCATATTTACTTTAAATTTCCTTATATATTTTTTGAAATTGGATCCAAAGCTTACCTGTTTGCATGGAGTAAAAGACATCAAATATGAAGTTAGTATTTGGATGTGAGCTGAGCTCTGAACTGGCCAAGTGTTTTAGACAATCAAGGAATGTCTGTTTGGTGTAACAGCTGCAACTAGCAGAAAAGCTGTCTAAAAATGTTTTTGTCAAGAAAGACTTTTATTGAGCATAGCAAGCAGTGCAGATGTTGTTTGGGTCCAAAGGCTGAGTGATCCATCCAAAGGCCCAAGGGTGGATGTGTTTGTGGTCTGCCACACACACACAGCTCTGGCTCTGTCCTCAGAAACGCTTCCCTTGTGGCTTTAAAGATGCTGACGGAGTGTCATGCATCAATGCATCATATCCTGCCATGGTAAGGGTCAGAGACCAGCGTGCTCTCTCCTTTACCATCTCTTTCCTAGGAATGCGAAGGCCTTTCCATAGACACTCGGCAGGATTGCCTTTCCCTCTTGTGGGCCAGAATAGGGTCACTTGCCTATTCCTTAGCCAGCGACTAGAAAGAAATTTAAAGGAGGCTTCGAGAGAGGAGATGGGGGAATCAAGTATGCAATCTATGTATGCACAAATGTACAGTAGAAAAAGATACGGTATAATAAAACTAATCATGCAGATTTGTGTATTTCAAAGTTGGCTTAATTGTTGTCATTAGTTAGCAATTGTCTCTCGAAGCTTATAGCTGTCTGATAAGACAAAGCCACACAAACACCATATTCTAAAAGCAAATTATTATTTCCAAGATAGAAAATATTTTTTAAAACAAAGATGAGCTTTGCACTTAGTTATTTCTTTTCAAAGCACGACACTGACTCCAAGTAGCAAAAGGAGGAAAGATAGTCTCCTGCTAATCAATTAAACAACACATTTTTATGTCAAAAATAATGAAAGTTAGCTAATAGGAAAAGACCAGGATAGGGAAATTCTAAACAGACTTTATATTGGAACATGGCACAGTTTATCTGTGCTATGGGTTTATTTCCCAGTGGGTTGATTCAGATCAATAATGACGTTGACTATTGCATCCCTTGACAAGCGGTGGACCGCATGAGCTATAAGGCATAGAGGAAGCTAGCCTAGGCTTTTTAATATCCCTTTATGTAACTTCAATGCGCTAAACATAGATAGAGATGTTCTGGCTGCTAGGCGCTGTCCAATTGGCTTTGATTCATAGTGACAGAGACAGCGCTGCATCACCCTCACAATCAGTTCTTGACTGGAGTCCATCGCTGACGTCACCCCGTGTACCTCCTCGAGGGTCTTCCTCTTGTTTGGCAATCTTCAACTTTACCAAGTATGATGTCCTTCTGTAGGGACCAGTCCCTCTGGATAAATGTCCAAAGCTGTACTTATTTTTTGAAGACAGATTTGGTTGTTCTGCTAGCAGTCCGTGGCTTATTCAATATCCTCCCCCAACACCATAATTCAGTTCTTGGGTTGGTTTACCGTCTTCACTGTCTAGCTTTCACATGTTACCCAAGACAGTTAAAGATACCCTGGTCGAGTCAGCAGTACCTTAGTCGTCAAAGTGATGTTTTTGCTCTTTATTTACTTCTTTATTTTGCTGTTTGACACTGACTTGTCCATCACGAAGGGATGTACGCCGGTTTCGGTTTTGCTGGTATCACCATGCACCAGTGTTTCGGTCACAGCGGCGAGGAAGCTGGAGGATTTCAGGGCCATCTTCTTCCTCTCTTACACAAACAAAGAAAAGCTTACTCGCTGCATTTTTCTTCTTTGCCTTTTTATTTGCGGAATATAAGACACCGACACAAACACACACCATATCTAGGGGCACAGCCCTCTCCTCAGAGAGGCCTTCAGATGTGGCCATCCCGATGGACGCGATTCTTCTTCTTCTTCTTGCTCTGTTGCTTTTCCCACCAACCTTCCTTCCTTTCCTCTCCGTCTCTGCCTTTGCCCCTCCCCTTTAGTTCTGTCTTTATAGTCTTCAAAATCTTTCCCTTTGGGTGAAAATCATTTTTTCCTTTCTTGATCGATAAGAATGGTATTATAAAATATTTCTCTTTCTGAGATGGACTAATTTTGCAAAGCTAATCTCCAATTTTGTCCATGTCATGAGGTGGTGCACAGCTTTGCCATTGTTTCTTACGAGTGTGTAAAATCCCATTGTGGAGACTTGCTTTTTAAAGAGATCTTTTGAAGCAGTTTTCCCATTGAAATACATAGTTATTGCGTTTTTTTAATGCTACTTCCATGTACATTGGTGGTGGATGCAAGTTAAATGGAATCTCGAAGTCAGTATTTTTTTCTTTTTACCATGATGTTGTTCCTTGATGCAGCTGTGCAGATTTTTGTTTTCTTTAGGTCAAGATGTAATCAGTACTGAAGGCTGTAGTCTTTCTCCTTTCTTCATCAGTAAAGGCACCAAGTCCTCTTCACTTGTGTCTCTACATATCACAGGTTGCAAATGAGACTTCTTCCGATCTTGATGCCACAGACCACTTAATATCATCAGATTCTCAGATAACTTGCTCAGCATAGACACTGAATAAATATGGAGAAATGATATAACCCTGATGCACATCATTCCTGGTTCTAAACCACGCACCATATCCTTGTTCTATTTTATTTACAGTGCAGATTCCACATGAGCACTGTGAATTCTTCTATTCTGGAATTCCCATTCAATGTTATCCAAAATTTGCTATGGAGGACATAGTGAAGTACCTTCATATAGTTAATAAAACACAGGTAAACATCTTTGGGGGATTCTTTGCTTTCAGCCATGAGCCATCTGACCTCAGCAATCCTTCTATGGTCTCTTCTGAATCTGATAGCATTTTTGCTGATTCTGCCTCAAGGTACTAAGGCAGTCATTTAAAAGTGGTCTTCACAAAAATTTTATTTCTATGTGATATTAATGATATAAATATAGAGATGAATAGGTATATAAATATATCAAAGAATCATATATATTATTATCTCATAAAGTTGTTGACTCTATCATAATTTTATTTTTGCAAATATATACTTAAAATATTTTATTTTTATAGGTGTACAGATTCCAAGTTTCTTGTCAATCTGAATTCAAATCTTTATGTCTTCACTTACTAACTTGGGATTTAGGCAAGTGATCTATCTACATGTGCCTAAGTTTCATGATCTGTAAAATGAGAATAGTAATGCCAACTTCATAAGACTATAATGGTGAATGAAAGAGCTAATATGCATTAATTACTTCATAGCATGTCTGACCCGCTGTGGCTGCTGTGAGGTGCTGTAGAGGTGTTTCTGACTCACAGGGACCCTACAACAGAACAGAACACGGCCTGGTCATGCGCCATCCTCACCCTTGCTCTTAACTTTGGGCCCATTGTAGCCACTGTGCCAATCCATCTTGTCTGGAGTCTTTTCACTGCCTCTCTATTTTACCAAGCTTGATGTTTTTCTCCTGACAATACTTCCAAAGTATATAAAACAAAGTCTTGCCCTCTAAAAAGCATTCTGCCTGTATTTCTTCCAAGGCATGGTACTTTTAGCATTCTTCGCCAGCCCTATAATTCTAATTTATCAGTAGTTTTTTGGTCTTCCATATTCAGTGTCCAACTTTCACATGCATATGAAGGGATTGAAAGTACCCTGGCTTGGGTCAGGCACACCTTAGTTCTCAAAGTAACATCCTTGCTTTCCAACACTTTAAAGAGATCTTGTGCAGCAGATTTACCCAAAGCAACATGTCCTTTGTTCTCTTTATTGCTGCTTCCATGCCCATTCATTAGGATCCAAGCAAGACAAAACCTTTGACAACTTCAAACTTTTCTCTAGTCACCATGATGTTAACTATTGGCCAACTGTGAGGATTTTTGTTTTCCTAATGTTTAGTTGTAATCCACACTGAAGGCTGAAATCTTTCATCTTCATCAGCAAAGCCTTCAAGTCTTCCTCACTTTCAACCAGCAAAACTGTGCCATCCGATACAGCGAGTTAATAAGCCTTCCTCCAATTCTGATGCCACGTTGTTCTCCTTCGTGTAAGACTATCTGAATATTTTCTCAGCAGACAGTCTGAAGAAGGATGGTGGAGCCTACAGCCCTGACTCACACTTCTCTGTCTTTCAGACAACGCAGCTTCCATCGTTCTGCTCTCACAACTGTCTCGTGAGCCACGTACAGGCTCTGCGTGAACATAACAGGGTTTTGGAGTTCCCATTCTTCTCAAGGCTACCCATGTTTGCTTTGGTTTTTTAATGACCCACACAGTCGAATGCCTTAGCATAGTCACTGAAACACAAGTACACATCTCACTGGCTGTTTGCTTTCAAGACCCCTCTGACATCAACAACAATGTCCCTTTACCACACCCTTGTATGCATCCAGCCTGAATCTCTGGTAACTCCTTATCAATGTAGCACTGTAAGCATTGTTGAATGATCTTTTACCTATGAGTGATATCAATTCTGTTGGTTTACAATTTGCTAATTCTTCTGGGTCACCTGCACATATGAATCTCTTCCAGACAACTAGTCAAGAAGCTGCCTTCCAAATTCTTAGCATACATTAGCGAGTCCTTCCAGTGCTTCATCAGAGTGTTGAAACATTTCTATTGGTATTTCATCAATGGTTAGAGCCTTGTTTGGGGGTAATTCTTTCCATGCAGCTTGGACGTCTTCTTTCATGAGCATTCATTCTTGATCTTATGCTGCCTCTTGAAACGGCTG